ATAGAAAACAAGAGTTAAGGAAGCAAACTTAAACAGATGTTCTCAGAATCCTGCTCAAATCTATTCAAGGGGGCTGACTCCCAGGAAGTGTTCTTATTAATTAGCTAATTAAAAATATTTCTTGCCTTTCCTCTTGGCTCAAGGTGGTTTAGGATTGGACTGTAAAGCAACTAAAAATGTACTCCATTTTCAGGTGTCGCACCACATATGGCTTATGTTAATCATAAGTTTACAAGCTGAAATCATGGTTTGTCTTCTAAAGGATCAGGCGAACAGGTTTAGAGTGCTTGTCTGCTTTCAGTTTCTGTTTGCTCAGCTCTCTAGATTCTTGGTTCAGCAGACCTGACCCGCAAACCCAGTTGATCATGTTGTCTGGCTCTAATTTGTTGCTTGATTACAAACCATGGTTTGCCAATTCAGACATTACTCCAAAGCATCACAGAGTTTCCTGATACCATACTTTGACATTATATGGTGAAATGGTTAGAATGGTGAACTAGGACTGTTGGGGTACTAGAATCTAAACCATGGTCCCTTTAAAGTGATTCCTGCTTAAAAGAATTACAGTTCACTTTGACCTTTTTTGAACTTTTGTTTTGAAATCACCTTAAGCTTCTAAAACAAATACAAAGGTCTTGCTCTCTGTCTTGCCCTGCAGAACATTAAGAAGCTGCTTAAGATTCCTTACAGCAAATCACATGTCAGTATGGCTGTACATCGGATTGGGAGAACTCTCTTATTGGATGACCTAGATATTCAAGAGCTCTTTATGAGATCATCACAGGTGATAAATTTGTTGAATTGGTTGAAATAATGTCTTTGGTCATGTGTTATTCTTGTTCCATGTGTGCAGTCTTTATTCCCAAAGACAGTAGTTTTGAGACGCATGATGTGTTCCTTCTGTCGAGATTGCTGTCTAGTACTGTTACCATAGCAAGGTGTATCTTGGCTAATGATGCTGTTAAATAGCATTCCTTATTTTAATTTTGGTACTGCTTGATTGTTTTATGAACAGTTTTCATAAGATGGAATGTAAACTGTCATTGTCAGGAGTGTGTTTAGTTGATTATATGTTAGAGCAACTTATTTTATTAGATGTCAAGCAGTTTAAACAGTATAAAATGACTTCACGCATAGTCTGAGTCATTTTGTATCTTTAAAGCACTTCATTATTGTATTAATTGTTAGTTTAAACAGTATAAAATGACTTCACGCACAGTCTGAATCATTTTGTATCTTAAACTAAAGCACGTCATTATTGTATTAATTGTATGCTTATTTATAATACAGACTGGAGACTGGACATGGTTAAAAGAATTCTACCAGAGACTGATAGATCAGAAGTGGCAAAGAAAGAAGAAGAGCAAAGAACACTGGTACCAGAAAGCTATACTTTCCAAATTTCTGTATTACAGGTATTTTGTGATTTTTACATAAGTTCTAGTCTATTGAGTTAAAATTAGTCAGTCTGCTGCTTTTTAAAAAAATAAGTCTACATCCCAAGAGGGAAAATATGGTTTTAATTTTTTAAAGGGTCTCAGGACCCACCCCTCTATAAGGGGGCTATAAGTGACTGACATGGCTGTCCTTCTGGAATTTGACCCCCTATGGATTTTTCTTGAATATTGGCACTAACACAGAGAAAGTCCAGGTTCCTGTATGGTTACACAAATACATCCCTCTTTGTACATCATGAACCACTGCTCCAGAGAGGGGACCCTCCCGCCCAGTCTTCAGTGTCAGTATGTTTTTTGAGGGAGCCTGACCTGTAAGCAGTGCTTTGGGTCCTGGGCACAATACTGAATATAAGTACTTTAGAAAATCTGGAATTAGAGCATGATTTATTTTTGTTACATTGTTATTCTCCTAAGGGACAGCTACAGGAACTGAAAATTTTGGCTTAACGTTGAGCTGTATTTTGCAGCAAAACAGGCATGCTGACAAGCTGTGTTGTTCATGAATCATATGCAGTGATAGTTGAAAACTTGCTCAGAACAATGGACCCATGTTGTAAATAGATGTTAAGACTGACCTGATCCATGGTCAGAGGCAGATTTCTGTGAAGATGTTGCCCTTCTGACTTATTTACTGTATTTAGAAAGTTTTCATAACCTCCTTTCCTAGCACTAAATACTCTCAAAGTTAGGTACACATCTAAAATACAATGAAACAATAATCTTTGATTAACTAAACTTACAGAAAGCTTGAGTGAACTGAAACTGTCTCAAACATTACATTCCAGACACAATAGCTACTGTAGGCCTGAATAAAATAATGAACCTTTAAGGAAGGCCCTTTTTAAGAGGCCAGGGTCCTGGGTCTGGCAGGCTGTACCAAGTAACAGGTTACATGGTTTAGGAGCAGCTTCCCAAAATTCCTGTTCTGCCTTGACCACGACCCTAGCATGAAATAGAACTAAAGCAGTTTCACTGATGAATCTTAATGAGGCCAAAGGTAAGTATGGGAGAAAGCACTTTCTCAGATATATTGAGGGCAGTGTTGGATCCTGTGGAAGCAAAAAGATGCTGTGCAGGGATAAAGCTTCTTTGGCGTCTGGATGTTCCAACACTGTGTACATCCCACTGAGCATGTGATTGTCACCATGGCTTGTGAACAGGTGATCAGTGCTGTCAAAAAGCAACAGTCTTTTCCCCCACCTTCCCCTATGTTACCTCTGAAACAGGTGGACGCTGTACTCCAAGATGATGGTAGTGATCATGTTTTATGCAGGAGGGGAAATGACCGCACACAGTTGTGTATGTGTATAGCCTTTTTTTGTTCATGAAGATTACTGGGTTGACGCCGACATGTATAATTGTTGATAAAACCACAGAACTGATGGCATTAGTGCAAGGGTTTAGCTTTCTGTTCTGGATACAATTTTTGTGATACTGAATGGGAGAGAAAGCAATCACAGATAAACATATTGACTACTTTTTTACTACTTTCTGACATCACATGTAACTGCAGTTAAGGAAGGATGTGTAGAAACCTGACTAGTTGCTTATCTTGCACATGTGCACTTCCCTCTTCCTATGCCAAAATAAATAACACACTTTCAATCCACTTTCAAAGCACTTTGAAACTGGATTTTACTGTGTGAAATGGCAAAATCCACTTGCAAAGCATTGCTGAAGTGGATTGAAACGGTGTTATTTAGCATGTGTGAAAGTGCCAGCAGCTCTTACTTACCTATGACATATGTGATTATAGATCACAGATAACTAGAGTTAGTGCTTAACTGTGATTCTAGGTGGGGATTCTTGGTATAAGGAAGAAGAAAGAGGCCTATGCACAAGCCTGTTGACAAGCTATGTTAAAGCACTATATATATACTAGAAATAATGCCCGTTGCGGAAATAAATACAACGGGATCTAGAAAGAGGCTCTGGGAGAGTGCTCTGGCTTTGGGCAAACAGTGTCAGTTTCCTGTGGCGACCTCAGCAGGGTTTAATGACAGAGTCCACTGTTTTCTCCAGAGGGACTGATCTCTGCTACCTGAAGAGCATTTGTATGTTTGAGTTATCTGTAGCCCTCACCTGGAGAGTGGTAACCATTGTTACCCATTCTCCTCTCCCCTATGAGGTATGTTATGCAACTGAAAATCCCAACTGCCTTGCGGGGGGGGAGTTTGAGGTGTGGAATGGACTGAAGTCCAATCAGCTTCCATATGCAAAAGACCAGGTTGTCGCAGCAGTTGTGGTGTGGGCGGGACCCGGGCTTTGCCTTCTGATTGGTGGCGATATATGCTGAGGAGCAGTGCCATCAGCCATACACTAAGGGAGTGCATTTTAGAATTAGAACTTTGGCACCCACTATTCAATTATATATAAGGAGAGATTGTAGGAGTCTTGGTAACAAGGATTTGTGGGAACTAAAAGCCCTGCTCTGGAGTATACATACCAGGAGACTCCTTCTTGGAATTGTAACGTGTTGGAACATAAATTCTGGAGAGAGTTGCAGCTATTAATCAATTTAGTAGCTAAGACAGAACTAATATTCAACACATTAAACTGTAGGATTTGGGAAAGGATTCTGACTAAAATTTCTGCTTTGTCAGCATTAATGGTGATGGAGCTGCTCAGCCCGTTCCTAACCCTGAAGAGCAGCATCAAGAAGAGACAGCTGGAGATGAAGCTGATGAAGCTGGAAGAGTTTCTTGGCCAGCCCCTTTTGAAATGCCTTCCTCACTCTCTGAAGATGCAAGTGCTTCTAATCAGGTTAATGTGGTCAACATTTTACTTAATGTTTACTTGTCGATGTCCTTACAAATGTGGTGACATGCTGGAAAGAGAAAAGTGCCAAATTGCTTGATATGGTATAGAAAAATGATTAAGAAAATTAAACTGTGGGTTCTTGGTCCAAAATTCACCTTTTGGCATGATTTCTTAACACGCTCACCATCTGCAGTGTGGCAGTAATACTTGCTATAATACTGTTATAAGGTATGTTACTGAAAGAGATTTGGGTCCTAAGCTGCCTTTCCCCGGTGCCAGGTGCTTCTCCTCACCAAACAAGGAGAGGATAATTTTGGAGATTCTCCTCTCCCCTCACTGCACCTTGCCCGCACTTTAATCCCCTTTATATTCCTGGGGCCCTCCTGATGGGAGGCAGAAATGCTGCATAGTTTTAATAAAGGTTCTAATTTTTTTCATGAAATGTACTTAGGTTTTGTTTGAATGGACACATAATTGTTTCAGTTTTTCATCAGTGTAGCACTCCTTGGGGTCAGGGGAATGTTGTATCCGGAGTCTATGAGGAGGTTCTTGAAACCAGGAGCCCAATCACTGTTTCTTTAAGCAGTTCTTTTATTTGTCATAACAAGCCCCCTGAAGGTGTGGCTCAGCTCGCCCACCTCAGGGTTACACTGTATTACACCGGAGAAGAGCCACACCACTCGCACCTCTCTCTCACTTCAGCTTTCTTTGTCTCCTGCCAACCTCCTCCCATTTCCCCTTTCTCCCTTTTTATATCCCCAGCTTCTTACCTCTGGTCCTTGAATTAAGCTTTACCCTCTTCGCCTCTTTCCCCTGCCTTGCCTCACAACACCTGGGCCTAGAGAGGCATCACAAAGTCTGCCCTGTTACCAAGGCTACTGCAACTTTTTGCCCTTGTTCCCACCCTGCCCCACCCAGGTGAATCCTGCTTCTGGGTCCAAGGGCCTGCCCTATCAGGCAGTTTGTTTCTGGGCTGCCTGCCACAATCAGTAGCTGATATTTTGACGGGGATTTGTTGATGTAATTCCCAGTGCTGGTATTTAATTTGTGATTGGGTTCTAAAGTATTTCAAAAAATTGTAAATCTGCATAACTCGTGAAAACAAAATTATGCGAGAAGGCATGCAAAACATGGACTCTTAAGAATATGTAATGCTGTTAAATGTTTTTCTTTTCATACAATATACCACTTGTTTGCAGACACTAAAAACTGCTTAGCCAGTAGAGCTGTGTTTGTAGCTGGGTATTTGCGTAATGTTCTTCTCTGGGTAGAAAAACTTCATTACAGGGGGGAAAAAACGTGCTCCAGAAATTATATTTTATGTCAAGTTTTTAAAATGCTACACTTTAGCTGTGAACTTGGATGAAAACTGGTAACTTGCAGATAGCAGAAAGAAATCCCAAGGATGAATTGTTGTATATTTTAATTCATATTGGTTTGTGCCATGGATACAGTATTGCCAGGCTGAGGCTCTGAAGTTCGTAAAGGGGGTAGTGTGCTGCCACTCCATGTGGTATCTATTCTTTTTAGGATAAGCAGTACAAAATAAACAGTACAATTCTAAGCACGTCTACTCAGAATCCTTCTGAAGACGCCCAGGAAAGTATTCTTAGGATTGCACTGAAAATCTCCTAAATAATCAAATCATTATCCTTGCAGAATTTAATAGGAAACTATTTTCTAAATTAGATTACTTCTGGTTTCTGCAGTTGCATATTTGCATGACCTTATTATGCAATTGTGGTATTTTTAATTAGTGATGAGTTACGGGAAAATTTCATACACATGTCGAAAAAACTTGCATAGGTGTATTTGTTCAATGCACAAGTGGTTGCTGTTCACATTTGCAGAGTACATATTTTATTTAAACTGATATTTTATGTCTGCAGTAGAATCACTTCTTAATATCCTTGTGCTTTTCACAGGGAAGTGTGCCTCTTGAACCCTCATATGTAGTGGGGCATGTGACCTCAGCCCCCAAAGAACAAAACCTAGCTACTTTGTTCAATGATGGGGAAAGCAGTCAGGTATGGTTTTACGTGGCAACCAAACTAAGAAGTTTAATCCCCTTACTCAATTTGATCTGTGGGGCAGCTCAGAGAAAAATGTCACTTCTATCAGTTGCTTTGTGGCCTCTGTGAGTGTGTAGCATAGTTTTCACGTCTCAAACTTTATCCGCTTTTCTTCTCTTTTGCTTTCTTGTAGTATATCTGCAGGCTGTGTTGCACTCTCCTTTTTAATAAGATGCATGATTTATAAACATGTTTCAAATCTTTATTTTAAATGCAAAGGGTCTTAAAAATGACTTTGTTCGGAACATCTTGTGGACATTTGAAGATATCCACATGTTGGTTGGATCAAATATGCCTATATTTGGAGGAGGAAGATACCCTGCTGTGAGCTTGCGTCTCAGGTGAATAACTGTGATAGAATTTTGGTTTTGAAGAGCTTTATTGCTGATGGAATGTATTGGTTCCCTTTGGTAAAAAATAATTGCTTAATAAGAGAGGTAGATCACTTGGCTACCGATATTATTCGAGCTCTCTGTGTTGTCCAATTTAAGTTATATTGAAATGTGATTCCTAAATATTTGAAGTTTTTGACTTGAACAATTTCAGTATTACCTATTGTCCATTTTTGAAGTTTCTATCTTTGAGAAAACTAATACTTTGGATTTTGGATAATTGATATTTAGTGCATTATCTTGACAAAACTTATAAAAAGCTTATAAATATAGTAGAGTAGAAGACCAATTCTAGTGCAAGAAATAATAGTAGTGTCATCAGCGTAAAGTAGAAGAGGTATGGCATGAGATCCCAATTTAAGGGGATGGCAGTTGACAGGTTCCAGGTACGAGGCTAGATCATTTATGAATAGGTTAAAAAGGTGAGGCACTAGGATACAACCTTGCTTCACTCCCTTATGAATTGGAATCTTAGTCATTAAGTGTTCATGTTCTGAGTATTTGACTTGACAGGAGGTAGATGAATGTAGTTTTTAAATAAAAATAATAATGAGGTTTGAACTTCATTAGTTCTAATTTATCCCATAATAGTGTCTAGATATCGAGTCAAATGCACTTTTCAAATCAATAAAAGCCACATACAGGGGTTTTTTTGTACCTGATTTCATATATTTATCTGCTAAGAAAATTAAAAGAGTACAATGGTCTAATGTGGAGTTGCCATTAGAGAACCTGATTTGTTCAGGGCGGATGATTTGAGAAGAATAGATCGAATCTTTAAAAGATTGGCTAATGGAGTGGACCACCACTGGGGATATTTAATAAGAACTTCAGCTGGGATTCCATCTGGGCCTGGTGATTTACCTGGCTTAAGTTCAGCAATTAGTTCAAGCAGTTCCTCTGGATTTACCAGCAGCCAGCTAGGAACACCATCTAAATTAATACTATCAAAATCCAGAGGAGAAGTCAGGAGCAGCAAAAATCAAACTATAGTGGGCGAACTAGGTTTGAGAAGAAATATTTGAGTTAATAGAATCTGCTATGTTGCTCAAATGAGATGTTACTACTTGCCAGAAGGTATTATTATTATTATTGTTATTGTTATTATTATATTTTAGTGTTTGTAATTAGATCAGCCCAGTTCTTTTGATAGAATAGCTTTTGTTGTTGTTAACTGAATGCTTGATAAAGTTTATTTTGGTCATGGAAGTTATTTAATTTCCCCAATCTATTTGATGACCGAAATTCATTGTATGCTGATCTCACAGAACTTTTTGCCTCGATTTGTTCAGGGCGGATGATTTGAGAAGAATAGATCGAATCTTTAAAAGATTGGCTAATGGAGTGGACCACCACTGGGGATATTTAATAAGAACTTCAGCTGGGATTCCATCTGGGCCTGGTGATTTACCTGGCTTAAGTTCAGCAATTAGTTCAAGCAGTTCCTCTGGATTTACCAGCAGCCAGCTAGGAACACCATCTAAATTAATACTATCAAAATCCAGAGGAGAAGTCAGGAGCAGCAAAAATCAAACTATAGTGGGCGAACTAGGTTTGAGAAGAAATATTTGAGTTAATAGAATCTGCTATGTTGCTCAAATGAGATGTTACTACTTGCCAGAAGGTGGTGGTAGTATTATTATTATTATTATTATTATTATTATTATTATAATATTTTAGTGTTTGTAATTAGATCAGCCCAGTTCTTTTGATAGAATAGCTTTTGTTGTTGTTAACTGAATGCTTGATAAAGTTTATTTTGGTCATGGAAGTTATTTAATTTCCCCAATCTATTTGATGACCGAAATTCATTGTATGCTGATCTCACAGAACTTTTTGCCTGTAAACATTCTGTATCAAACCAAGATGGAGGGTTGCATAAGGGAGGCATAACTGCTTTAGCAAGAGAACAAATTAGTTTGATTAGTTGATTATAAAAGTGAACAGAATCTTTACAGGAATTTGTAGAAGTTGGTAGTTTTCATATTAATTGCCGTGTCAGATCAAGTAAAAGAGCTAATTTTTTTTTCAACTGTAGGAGTCCATCCTATTTTCTTCAGTAAATATTCAGAATTGGGCTGTAAGTTGGTAGAATCATTTGAACGGGAGTTATTTTTACAAATTATAGAGCGTTCTAAGGGGAGATGGTCACTTTTGGTTCTTGAACCAATCGAAAAGTTATCAGGAAGCGGAAAAATAGAGGGAGAGCAGATGCAATAATCTACTGCACTGCAACCCTGAGGGGAAATATATGTGAACTGATTAGCGGCCGGAAATGAAAAAATGCCATTCAGTGTAATCATATTATGATTAATGCAGAATTCTGCCAATCCAATTCCTGCTTTATTGATCAAAGGATCTTTTGACTTTCAAGAGAGGGAGAGAATAGGGGGAAATGATTTCTCAAATTGTTGAACTGTTTTGGGCTAAAGGTACTCACCAGATTTAGAATTGTGTCTTGAAGCAAATAGGCAACCAGTGTAGTTCTTCTAATGCTAGTGAGATAGCTGACTGATATACCATATCAGTCAGAAGCATAGCTGCTGTGTTTTACTTCAGCAGAAACTTCACCTTCAGAGATAACTCCATGTAGAAGTTTATAATGGTCCACCCTAGATGTTATCAAATAATAGATAACTGTGTCTGAGTCCTGTCGTCCAAGGAACAGCCACACCTGGTGCACTGTTGAAGCTGAGCACAAACACTGTGCCTCACAGAAGTTACCTGAGTTTCTATTTGCAAGCATGGATCTTGTGACACCCCCAACCTGTGAACTTTTGTTTCAGAAGTACTGCAATTCTCCCCTCCCCCCCATTCAATAATTTATTTATTTATTTATTTTTGGGATTTATATCCCGCCCCATCCAATATACAGCTCGGGGCGGGATATATTGCTTTGTGTTTAAAAGAGCCTTGTGAATAGTTTTTTTGAGGGATGGTCATTCTCCCCTGCTTCTCTTGTGGGTGTTTTCCTCTGCATGCTCAGTTGTTTGAACAAAGCCAGCATTGTACAGTATGCCCCTCTCTGCCTTCTGCACCTTAAATGGATATCATCCGGAGACAGTTCTTTCTCCTAATAATGCCAATTGTTAACATGTAGCCTTAGATTTTCTTTTCATGTTAAAACAAAAGTGTGAACAAAAATAAGTCCTTTCTATAATTCTCAGGAATTGGCATTGTGGAAAACAGCTCATATTCAAAAGCCGTGGGTTTTCTGCCTGTTGTGGATCTTCCTAGCCTCCATGGGTCTTTCTTTATTCCTAGCTTCCGGCATACCAGCTGGTGTAGTGGTTAAGTGCGCAGACTCTAATCTGGGAGAACTGGGTTTGATTCCCCACTCCTCCACATGCAGCTGCTGGATGACCTTGGGCAAGCCATAGTTCTGTCAGAGCTGTTCTCTCAAGGACAGTTCTGGAAAGAGCTCTCTCAGCCCCACCTACCTCATAGGGTGTCTGTTGTGGGGAGGGGAAGAGAAAGGAGTTTGTAAGCCACTCTGAGACTCCGAGTGAAGGGTGGGGTATAAATCCAATCTCTTCTTCTTTTCTGTTCCATAAACTTGGGGCTTAATATGGGGAACAAGGTGGGGTCCTTGTATCTTAACGAGTCCTATTCCTATAACTGAAATAATACTGGAAATATTTTTGTTTTAGGGATAACAATAAGCCCATTAATGTGCTGACAGGCATTGACTATTGGCTGGACAACTTGATCTGCAATGTGCCAGAACTTGTAATGTGTTTCCATGTCAATGGAATTGTCCAGGTAAGCTTTTGACTCAAACTTCTGATCACATTTTTTGTTCTTGGTTAGGGAAATATGGTGATTTTTAGAATGCATGTCAGAGTCTTAAAGCATTCTGTAGCACCCTAATGGCAGCTCACTTGGGATTTAACATGTAGCCTTAGATTTTCTTTTCACGTTAAAACAAAAGTGTGAACAGAAACAAGTCCTTTCTATAATTCCCAGGAATTTGTATTGTGGAAAGCAGCTCATATTCAAAAGCCATGGGTTTTCTGCCCGTTGTGGATCTTCCTAGCTTCCATGGGTCTATCTTTATTCCTAGCTTCCGGCATACCAGCTGGTGTAGTGGTTAAGTGCGCAGACTCTAATCTGGGAGAACTGGGTTTGATTCCCCACTCCTCCACATGCAGCTGCTGGATGACCTTGGGCAAGCCATAGTTCTGTCAGAGCTGTTCTCTCAAGGACAGTTCTGGAAAGAGCTCTCTCAGCCCCACCTACCTCTTAACGAGTCCTATTCCTATAACTGAAATAATACTGGAAATATTTTTGTTTTAGGGATAACAATAAGCCCATTAATGTGCTGACAGGCATTGACTATTGGCTGGACAACTTGATCTGCAATGTGCCAGAACTTGTAATGTGTTTCCATGTCAATGGAATTGTCCAGGTAAGCTTTTGACTCAAAATTCTGATCACGTTTTTTGTTCTTGGTTAGGGGAATATGGTGATTTTTAGAACGCATGTCAGAGTCTTAAAGCATTCCGTAGCACCCTAATGGCAGCTCACTTGGGACATTGTGTTACTGTACAGAAACATATTGTTATATGGGTTCATACAGTCAAGAGCATTCATACTGTGCAATGCTATGAAAACTTAGGATACATAATAGTAATGATCATTCTCAAGTATATCAGATTACAAAGTACTTCAGTATGTGAAAGGCATCTGTGGTGGTACATGCTTTTTCGTTTTAGCAAAGCTGTATTTTTTTTATTGCTGCAGAAATACGAAATGATTAAGACAGAAGATATACCCAATTTGGAAAACTCTAATTTCTCTACAAAAGTAATAAAGGATATTGCTCAAAACATTCTGTCTTTTTTGAAGTCTAACTGCACCAAAGAAGGACATACATACTGGCTATTCAAGGGTAAGTCTTTCCACACAGAGCGGTCGTCGTTCGGTGCCTGAGCTGGGCCTAGGGGTCGTAGACAGTTCACAGGGCAGGAGGATGTTGCTGCACCTTCTCCCTCCCGTGGCTTCAGGCAGCTGGGGCACCTGTGGCAGTGCACGGGCCTTCCTTCCCCCCACACTCGCTCAGCTGCTGGCACAGCTGTTTGCTGTTGCCTTGGACCCATCCTCCACTAGTCTCCAGGACAGCAAGCCCAGCTGGTGCAAGACAAGCATGAATGGGTGCAAACAGATCTACTGGGCCGGAAGGAAGGCATGATTTCCTTCTGTCCACTGCTTCCTCGCACCTCCTTCAGCTTCTTTTCTCCCAAGGTCAGGGTGTCATAGTGGGAGGGAGGGGCTTGGAAAGCCCGGAGTACTGGGCCTCTCCATGGCCCTCGGCTTTCTTCCTGTCGGATCGTGCTGCCGTATCCAAAAATGCTAGTGGTTTTATATAGGACACTTAGGACCTATAGTTTTGTTAGGCTGATGGAATAACTTCTTGTTTTTTTCCAGCAAGCGGAAGTGATATAGTAAAGCTGTATGACCTCACCACCCTGTGTGAAGAAACAGAAGATAAATACCAGAACCCTTTCACAATGCCTGTGGCAATTCTTCTGTATAAGTGAGTGTGCCATGCTGAGTTCAGTATGTAAGAGCAGGAGACTGCCCAGTAATAGTTAGTATGAAAATACCAGTTCAGACCTATGCACTACTGTTAAGCAACAATGGACTCTGGATTTGGCTGCAGGGCTTATTGCTCTGGTGCAAGGATCCTTCTCCTTTTGCTGTGTGTTGGGATGGCAATAGTAGCAGCTGTCAGACTCATTATAGTTAGGCTAAAGTGAAGCCTAATAGCTGCAAGTAATCTTTACTCTAATGCAATAATACACATTATTGTGCAGAATGGGGCCTTGTGGTGGCACCTGGCATTTCATTCTAAGGCCTGCCAGGAGAGTTTTCTCTCTGTGTGTCATGTTGGGAGAATTTTGTTCTAGCAAAAAACTGCACTCATGGTAGAAGTGAGACTTTTAACCCTTATGTGAAGGGTATAGCTGACCGTAAAGCGGTTACAAAATACGTAAATGCAGTTTTTCCATTCACTTCCTACTAAACGTTTTTGTACAATAAGAGGTCTGTTGCTGCTTCAGTTCTCCATTCAGATACCTTAAAGTTTAGAATTTCAGCCTAAATGTATTTTTTTCCAGTGGAGTCCTATGCGCTTATTCCATTCTAAGACCACTGATTTCAGTGGAATAATTCTGTGTAGGGTTGTGCTGTAAATGATCTTGTATGTGGTTTTGATACAGATGTGATATAAGTCTTTCAGTATTGGTCCTCATTTGAATTGGAAGTTCTGGGAAACACCATATTTATTTATTTATTTATTTTATTCGATTTCTACCCCGCCCTCCCCACCGAGGCAGTATTAAGATATTACAGCTGAGAAAAACTCACTCAGTAAGCTCCTTATGGAGCTTAAATACCATCTTCTATGTAGTTGCATCCCCAAACAATAAACAGCACTTCTTTGTAAAATTTCATATTTGAATGGGAATCATTGTCTGATACATCCAATTAAACTGTGACATTAATTAGCAGACACTAGACTGTGAGAACTGCATGTAAGAGAAAGAGCCCCTTCATAATCAAATCAGGATTTCTTCGACATTAGTATTTACTTTTTTACATTATTTAGATGCAAACGCATTTGAGAGAAAAAAATAACTTTATTAACTATTAAGTGTTGTTTGGAAAGAATATGAGTACAAAGGAAAGCCCTTTAAAGGGGGTATTGCTAAAACTATATTGCTTCCTTTAACTTCCATTCTTTTTTTTTAATGGCATGTTTAGTGATATTGGTTGGTTCCAATGGCACCCTTCAGCTAAGCCTTCCTTTGACTGAGAAAGTCTTAGCAGATTGATCTTGCCTTTTTCATAGGGGTTAGTCCTAGTGCAGCGATCAATAAGAGCACCCGTTTTCCATCTGTGAAAAAGAATTGCTCTCTCAATCCGTGTTGCATGCGTGGTGTGAAAGATCCTTCTGTTTACCTGACTTTTATCTTAGAGTCGCTTGCAATATGATGCTGAAGAAAAGCCAAAACAGGAAACATTATGGTACTATCAGAACATTGCTCCTTAACTGTGTGAAGTTATTAGACAAGGGTAGACATCCTCAGGTAAGGATTCTATCCTAATACAGTTGTTAAAACATTTATTACAATGTTGACATCTGTCAGATAAGGTGGGAATGGCAGATCAGGCCTTTTTACAGCTTTAAATGCTGGGCTTTCATCTTCGTTAAAAAGTGATCTCCGTTGTCAGGAGCTCTGTTGGATTGACTCCCTCTTTCCTTTCTGTTAAGATTATTGCTTCAGCAAGCTACATGCTCTCGGAACTGTTCCAGCTAGATGAGCCTAAAAAAGACGAGGCTGGAGAGTTTCCCTTAAATGGTCATTCTGATGAAAGCTACAGTGAAGAAGAAGAAGAAGACGAAGAACTGCCTGATAGCGATGAAAACGGATCCTGTAGCACCAGCTCAGATCCTCCTGATGACAGCAAGGCAGTTGCTGTAATCAAATCTGTTGGAGAATTGTCTGTACCTGAAAAATACAAATCTACTCACCAGATACGTGTAAGATGATCCAGTAGGTGTGATGTGGGCTCAGCAGGGTGAGATCGGCTTTTTAAAGTAATGTGGTGACCTGTCTAAAGGATGGCAGCCTTAAGTAACAAACTCCCCAACAAAAAGGAATTTAGGATGAAGGAAAATGTCTACATTTTTTCTTTTCTCTGCAACAGGAGACTCATGATATACAATTGCAAGCATTGCCTCTCAGCATAACCTACCTCACAAGGCTGTTGTGAGAATAAACCTGAAGAGGGGAGAATGATATACATTCCCCTAAACTATTTGGAGGAACAAACACGAAAAGTTCCACTTTACATAAAAACAGAACAGAAAGAAAAATAAACAGAAGAAAATACAATTCAATATCATGTAACAAAATCTAAGTAATACCTTCTTTTAAGAGGAACAAACATGACATAGAATGGTAATTAACAGTGACTTAAAAAATGGGAAAGTGGGGGGTGGAGTGGTGCTTGAGGTCATTTGTGTGCTCCAAACACTCTCCATATCATGGCCTGAGGCATCCCCCACCCCCAAGCGTGTGAAGAGCAGCTTGATGGAGAGTTCCAAAGAACTTGCGAGCTCACAATGGCTTATGTCATTTTGGCTGATCTTAATGCAAGTTATTAGGAGCTGC